ACAAAAAGAATCACATCGTGTATGAAATTTTTAGGATCCGGTACCAGCGGAACCATGGTCTGGTAATAGAGATGCCTCGAAGCACGGAAATGTCTCCGTTCAAATGAATCTTTTCACACGCGAAATCGAGGGCGACGAAGATTGCCTCTATTTAAATGTGTACACCACGAAAATCGAACCTTCGAAGAAGCGTGCGGTAATGGTATATCTACACGGCGGTGGTTTCTATCTGGGTTCCGGTGATGCACTCTTCTACGGTCCCGATTACATCGTACGGAAAGATGTAGTTCTGATTACCCTGAATTATAGACTAGGCGTTCTAGGTATGTACATTACTTGTTTCAATATGCGTAATCATTGTTATATATTGTTCGTATCTGGCGTTTTCATTTAATAACTATTTAGATCTTCTTCCTATTTTAAACGAGTCACTTGGAGATATTGATATTTCTTGCAGACATTGCCAAAGTTAAATATTTTAAATATATATATTCGTAAAAGAAAATTAATATACAGAGATCCGTAGGATCGGAAGGATTGGAAGTTTTATTCGATAAATGCGCAGTTTTATCTCTAAAATTCTATGGTATACGTAATGTAAATTATAATATTATATGTTAACGCTCTAACATCGTTGTTAGCGCGTTCTAAATACTGGCCTACGGGCCAGAAAGTTAAATTCACATTTGTTTATACTGTTCGTACAGTCTACAATCGTTTCTTTTTCCTTTATTTTCTGCATAATAAGACTATTTTGTCAATTGATACATTAGAAATAAATTTTAGCGCGATTTACTTCAGATTCAATAAAGTAATAATATTAATAATCTATATACTTTTCATTAAGACAAATAGATTTTGATAAAATTCAATATTTAGTTTTATATTTAAAAAATTAATATTAAAAAAAAACATAAAAGTAAAAAGTACATTAATGTGTGTGACTTCAGGTTTCCTGAATCTTTACGATAAAGTAGCGACGGGTAATCAAGGTCTGAAGGATGTGATCATGGCGTTACGATGGATCCAGAAAAATATATCAGAGTTCGGAGGAGACCCTGAAAATGTCACTATCTTTGGCGAAAGTGTTGGTGGAGCCATCGTACATTATTTAACTCTGTCTCCTTTAGCAAAAGGTACAACGTATTTTCTTGATACAGACGCTCTTATTGATACACAATAATTTAGAATCATCAAATCCAATCTAATTTAATATATTTTAATATATTCATGAATTTTAATGAATAAATTTCAATTATTCATCATGTGCATTTTTTATTTCTCTCAATAAAAATATTCAAATACGTTTACATATAAAAAATAAAAAGCGCCGCGAATCTACTATAAATACATAATAAATCTATTCTTTGTTTTAACTAATTTTAAATTAGATATATTTTTAAAAATCTTTTTTATTTGTAATTTTTGAATACTAAATTCGAATAACAATTATAAAGTCATATTAGTAAAATGTTGAAATTTATAAAACAATTAATAACTTTCCGAAAGAAAGAGAGAGAAGGAGGGAGGGAAACAGAGAGAGAAATTTTTAATATAATCAATCACAAAATCATTAAAGAACCAATGATTACAAAAACACGCATCGATTTTAGTTTGCAAATTACGAAGAAGAAAGATTTTATAATAATAACAAATTCTATGAATTAATTTTTTTACAATTGTTTTACAGGTTTATTTCATAAAGCCATTTTGCAAAGTGGAGTTGTAAGGTGTCCCTGGGCCTTTACTGAAAGAGAACCACATTTGAACAAAGCTTTTTTACTTGCCGAGAAATTCGGAAAAGTGACCGCAGATCCAAAAGTCGCTTACGAGTTTCTTAAAACAATCGATGCCAAAAAGCTTATAGAGACCGAACAAAAGTCCCTCTTGACAGAAACAGTAATTATCTGGATATTCGAATTTTGACATTTGACTATGATTTTATAAGTGCAGTAAATTGTGCAGTATGCAGACTACAGATTGTACAAATAAAAATATTTTATAAATATCTCTTTCGCAGGAGCGTCAACAGCATAGCTTGATATTTACGCCTAGTGTGGATCACGAATCAGCGAATCCATTTTTCCCGGAAGATCCAGAAACGTTCATGTGCCGCGAAGCTAAAGTACCATTACTTTTGGGTTTTACTAGTCGCGAGGGATCATTCATTATATGCAGTAACTTTAACGGACGTAAGTTATTGCAACTTGAATCAATTATTTCTTATTATTGTTAGCTTAAAGAAAAGTTCATAAACAAATTCATTACATATGTATCACACATGCGATCATCTATAACGGACCGTATTAAATGTCTTTAAAATTATTTTAGATATAAATAAAGAGGAGCTTAAAAAAATCGATTCCGATTTCAAGAGTGTCATATTGCCCAGGACTTTATCGACTTTGCCAATTACAGTCGAAGAATTACGCTCTTTATATTTTGGTGACAAAGCAGTGTCAGAGGAAACTCTGATAAATTACGTTGATTTTGTTAGCGAT